TCGTCAACTGCTGGAAATTCGTTTAATGGAGGCTCGTCGCGGCGACGTGGACGGCAACGATGCCGGCATTGACCTGTTCAGCCAGCAATTTTTGATCAAGCGGCCCCTGCTGGAAGCCATCGACCAGGGACGCGACCGGGCGCCGGTGCTGCTGATTGACGAGCTGGACCGGGCGGACGAAGAATTTGAGGGATTTCTGCTGGAACTGCTGGGCGATTACCAGATCACCATTCCTGAGTTGGGCACATTCAAGGCGGCTCACCCGCCGGTGGTCGTGATCACCTCAAACCGGACGCGGGAGGTGCACGACGCGCTGAAGCGACGGTGCCTGTACTACTGGGTGGACTACCCAGACTACCAAAAGGAATTGCAGATAGTATCGGCGCGCCTGCCCGATGCGCCGCGCCAATTGGCCCAGCAGGTGACGTCGTTCATCCAGGAGCTGCGGGATACCGAGCTGTACAAAATCCCCGGTGTTTCCGAGACGCTGGACTGGACCTCGGCGCTGATGGCGCTGAACATGCGTGAACTGGAACCGGAGGTCATAGACGATACGCTGGGCATCATGCTGAAGTATCAGGATGACATCGAGGCGGTAAGGGGCGAGCCGGTGCGAACGCTGCTGGAACGTTCTCGGAACCGTGGCCCGCGCCGGGGCGGTCGTCGCGGCTGACGCGCACGCCGACACAAGGCAGGGGAGGCCGCCAGTGATCAGCACCAACCAACCGCGTCACGTTGCCGTCATCGGCGCTGGCATTCTGGGGGCAACCATTGCCTGGCGACTCGCCGCCCGAGGCGTCAAAGTGTCCATCATCGACCGAGCCGAACCGGGAAGCGGCGCGTCCAGCCACAGTTTTGCGTGGATCAACGCCGGCGCCAAGGAACCCATCGGCTACCACAACCTGAACCGGCGCTCGCTGGAAATGTGGTCGCGATTCGCCGTCGGCCTGGCTCCAGATGGAGGAGCCAATGAGATCGGGCTGCGTTGGGGTGGCAAGATATCCTGGGAGTCGGACCCGGTGGCAGCGGAGAACCTGGTGGCCCGGGTGCGGCAATTGCAGTCCTGGGGTTATCCCAGCCGTTTGGTGGACGCCGCCGAGCTGGCGGAGCTTGAGCCCTCTCTAAATATTGGCCCCGTGAACGTAGCCGAGTACAGCGAAAACGAGGGACAGGTGGAGCCCCAACTGGTGGTGGATGCCTGTTTGCGGCGCATTGCCGAGGTCGAGTCGTCCATTTACATCGGCACCGCAGTACTAGGGTTTGCGTCGGGGGACGACGGGCGAATCGCGGCGGTGCAGACCACCGGCGGCGACATTGTGTGCGACGCGGTGGTGCTGGCTGCCGGGACCGACACGACGGCCTTGGCCGCACTGGCTGACGTGCATGTTCCACAGGCCGAGAGCCCCGGGGTGGTCATTCGAACGAGTCCGATGCCCAGATTGCTCCACAACGTGCCGGTGGTATATGCGCCGCCGCTGGGCGACGGCCGGCGCGAGATTCATTTGCGTCAGTGCGCCGACGGACGTTTTATGATTGGCGAGGGTGACCAGGAGAGTTTGGCCGAAGACGACAGCCAGACCCACGCCAACGACCTGCTGGCTCGGGCCGGTCAGTATCTGTCGGGGGTTGGCGGGAGCGGAGGCGACGCCGGTGCCCGTGGGTTGGCGTCCCATGCCGCTGGATGGCTACCCGGTGATGGGATTTGCCATCGAGGCGCCCAATCTTTACGTTGCGCTGACCCATAGCGGAGTTACGCTGGCGCCGGTTTTGAGTCAACTGGCCGCCCTGGAGATTTGCGACGGAGTCTCGGCGGATGCCGTCCTGGGGCCATACCGACCGGAGCGGTTCGCCGGGATGACTGCGGAGCAGGCGGCGGCATTGGCGCACCCACGGTCGGGTCACCGGTAGCCGGGCGAATTGATCGAGACAGGAATCCCCGGGTTTCATGACTTGCGGGATTGTCCTGGAAGGTGTTGGGGATGTTGTTTCCTTACCCTGGTTTTCTTCCGTCGACCGGTTCTTTTGGGTTGAGAGGAGAGCGAGTGTTTGTGCGGTAGATGTTGACACAGCCCGGCAACTCCTCCAGCGCTGAAGCGGCCGCCACCACATCTCCACGGGGGTGGGCGGCGCTGATGCTGAACCGGCTGCACTACAGTTCGGTGGTGCTGTCGTCCTTTGCCTTTGGGTTGTTTCTGCCCTTCGTGCGCGAAGACCTGCACCTGTCCTATCTGCAAATCGGGTTGTTGCAGGGGGTGTGTGGTGGATTACGTCCGCCGTGGCGCTGGTACCGCTGAGCGTGGTCTTCAGCAGGATGAACCCAAACCGGCGCGTGATGAGAGCGCTGGCCGTAATTACGCCGATGGTGTTCTGCCAGGGGCTGGCCGTGGGGTTCTGGACGCTGCTGGCGGCTCGATTCTTTACCGTGCTGACCTATGCGGCGCTGGCTCCGGTGCGCCCGCTGCTGCTGCGACGTTGGGTGGCTCCGAAAGACTACTCAATCGTAACAGCAGTCGGATTGTCGGTTCATTCGACGCTGATGGCGGGGGTGTTAACCTTCAGTCCACTGATTATCGTCGCCCTGGGCAGCTGGCGATTGGCGTATTTCATCCAGGGCGGGCTGATGGCGGCGCATTTTTTGATCTGGACGACGCTGACGTCCACGGCCAAAGCCGGGCCATCGGTACGGTCGGCGAACGACGGAACGGAGCAATCCAACGACGGAGCACGAGCTAAGGACGCTGCCACCGCGCTGATGCAGGACGGAGGGGTGTCGCCCATCGGCGCTCTCCGGCGCTATCCGCACGCCTGGCTGTTGGGAACAGTGATGCTTTGCCTGGCGGCGTCGTGGACTACGGCGCTGACGTTCTTGCCCGTGATCCTGGAAACCGAACGTAACATCGCTATAACTTCGGGCAGCATTCTGTTTGGTTTTCTCTACTATGCCCTGATTCCGGGAGCGCCGCTGGGTGGTCGAGATTTTCAAACGCATAACCGACCGTCGCTTGATGATTCTGATTCCCGCCGTATTCAACACCGGGTTCACGTTTGCAGCGCTGCTGGCCGGCAATCAGGCGTTGGTGGCCATCGGGTTGACCGGCTTGGGGCTGGTATGGGTCTTTGTGCCGGCGATGGAGGTGCTGCCGTTCGATTTCAAGGATATCCACGAACGGGAGGTGTCGGTGATAGCGGCGCTGGTGTTGACGTTCAGCGCGGTGGGATTCGCCGCCGGGCCCCTGGCAGCCGGGATCATCGCTGAGTTGTCGGGTTCGCTGATGACGGGAGTGCTGTGCGTGGCAGCCGGCACTAGCGTGGGGGTGATTGCCGCCTTGTTGTTCCCACGCGACCCAGCGGCGGTGACGCTGCGTCATCGACCGGCCGCGGTTGCCAACACGTAAACCGGGATGCAGTGTGATACCATCCTGTTTGCCGGTCGATCTGCCGACTGACCGATGCATCGACGGGCGTGCCGGCGCACCGGAGTGATCCGAGAGAATGGCTACCAACATCAACATGCACACCGCACCGGCTGACGTCGGGGACGGAACCATACTGCCCAACCTGCTGATGTTCGGCGAGGTGCTGCGACGGCTGGGGCTGGATTTTGGGTCGGCGAACATGCTGGATCTGGTACGGGCCACGGAGTTTGTGCCGCTGGGGGGAAACCGCAACGATTTTCGTTTGGCGGCGCGGGCATTGCTGGTGCTCCATCGAGGCGGCCAGTAGAGTTGGAAGGCATTGCCTGAGAGAACCAGCCTATGCGGGGATAACATACTCCTCCTCTTGATTTGCCCCTGTTTGATGAGGCATTCCAGGTTTTCTGGAGACCACAGGCTCGCGGCGCAAGCATGAGGGATCTGTTGGAGAGCGGTCTACTGGCGCGGACCGGCGATATCGGACGCCGCGTGTCATGCCCCACCGGGAGATCCCAACCTCGGATGCCGTCCGCCGGCGAGAGATGCCGCCGACAGACGCGGAGCCGTCAGCGTGTGGTGGACCTGCAGCGATCATTCAGCGCCCGCGAAGTGCTGCGCCAACGAGATTTCGCCGAATACACTCGCCACGAGGTGGCGGCAGCTCGGGGGATGATGGCAGACCTGGTGTGGGATTTGGGCAGCCGGCGGACACGTCGCCTGATGTGGGGAGACGGGTCAGATATCGACCTGCGCAGGAGTATGCGCCGGAGTCTGGCCTACGGCGGCGAAATGCTGGATATCGCCTACCGCCGGAGGAAGACCAAGCCGCGACCACTGGTGCTGATTTGCGATGTGAGCGGCTCCATGGAGCGGTACACCAGAATGCTGTTGCACTTCGTGCACACGGTGGCGGTGAGCGGGCAGCAGCTGGAGGCGTTTTTGTTCGCCACCCGATTGACCCGCGTGACCCGTCATCTGGCGCACCGGGGAGTCGATCAGGCGGTGGCCGATGTGGCCCATGCGGTTCCCGACTGGGCGGGTGGGACGCGCATCGGCGAGGCGATTAAGGGTTTCAATTACCAGTGGGCGCGCCGGGTGCTGCGTGGCGGCGCGGTGGTGCTGGTGATTTCGGACGGCTGGGACCGGGGCGAGCCGGAGCTGTTGTCGCGGGAGATGGCGCGATTGCAACGCAGCTGCCACCGCTTGATCTGGCTGAATCCATTGCTGGGGTCGCCGACCTACGAACCACTAACCCGCGGGATGCAGGCGGCGTTGCCGTACATCGACGATTTCATGCCGGCCCACAACCTGCACAGCCTGGATGAGTTGGCGCGGCATCTGAACCAGTTAACGTCGCGACGGAAGGCTCCGCGCAGCAACCGCCGGGTCGCCACCGACGAATCGGGCGAGACAGCCGCAGTTACGACCCACGACGGCGGGGCTGCGGCCAATGTGAGACGCCAGTTGAACCCCGCCCTGGCGCCCACGTTCAGGCATCCGCTGTGGGGACACCCCAACATGCCGGGCGGCGGCTGAAGGCGCGGCGAGCCGGTTAGGTCAGTACCCGTAGGGTCAGCGCCGTCGGGGTCAGTATTGGAAGTCGGTTTCGGCGGCCCAGGCCTGAACACCGCGGCGGAAAGCCAGGGCTCCCATGGGTGCGATAACAGCCTGCATGGCTTCCAGTATCTCCCGTGGAGTGGCTCCCTCGCTGAGCGCCACGCGCATGTGCGCCTGAATTTGCTCCTGGTCGGCGCGCAATGCGACCTCCACGCAGATTTGCAGCAGCTCTTTCGTCTTGCGATCCAGCAACCGTTGGCCGGTGTAGGTCGCCTCGATGAACTCGCCGTATTTCTGCGTCCACTCGGGGTCGGCGAGGGCGTTGATACGGTGCATTTCCAGGGTGTAGCCGCGGGTTCGGGCGGCTTCTTCGATCAGACGTTGGGCTTCGGTGTTGTCGGGCATTGGTTCAGTCCTCTGGTTGGTGAGATTGCGGTGGGGAAAGTGTGGTGTTCATCAGGGGGATTGCCACGTCGCTATGCTCCTCGCAATTGCAATGAGTTGTGCGTGCCGGGCAATGACTTCGGAAACGTTTTCGATTCATTGGCGCATTGACGGATTACAGGTCGTAATGAGTGCGGGCAGCCGCCTGGAGGGGGTCGTCCTGCTGGAACAGGTCGGGGTGTTTACCCCGGGCCAGCGCCAGGTGATAGGTAAAGAGCTGGAGGGGGGCCACGCTGATGATGGGCATCAGATTGGGCGGGCAAGCGGGCAACGGGAAGATGCGGGCCCCCGTGGCAAGCACCGACGGGTCCGGTTCGCCCATCAACGCCCATACCGGTGCGCCCAGTTCGCGGGCGGCCAGGGACAGGTTGAGGGTGCGGCCACGGTCGTCACCGGGCGGCGCGATGAGGGTCAGAAGGCAATCTGAGTCAAGGGAGCAGAAGGGGCCGTGAAGCAACTGCTCCATCTGGAAGCCCTCGCAGTCGGCGCGGCTGGTCTCCTTGATTTTGAGGGCGACCTCGTAGGCGTTGGCGCGGTGGGCACCCCAGCCGGCGGAGATGAAGCGGCGGCGCGATTGATTGTCCAGCGCAACTCCCCTGATATCGTCCTCGGCGGCCAGGACTTGCGACATTAGGTTGGGCAGGCCATGCATCCACCTGGTTATAGGCGGGGTCGCTGGCGTCCCGGCCGGTTTGGGCAGCGATGGCCCGGTTGAGCATGGCGATGACGGTGAGGGCGGTGGTGTAGCTGACGGTGAACGCCGACGATATCTCGGGGGATACAGTGTGAATCAACCGGTTGGCAGCCTGAATGCGCGGGCCGGGCGCGGTTGAGGTGATGGCTACGGTGAATGCGCCGGTGGACCGGGCATAGTCCAGCGCGTCGTAGGAGGAGCGCTTGGTTCCCCGGTGGCTGAAGATGATCACGGCGTCGTCCGGTGTTACGCGCGGAGGAGCGGTGCAGAATTCGAACGAGTTGCAGGCGAAGGTTTCGGGGCCGGCGGTGAGCATGTGCTGGGCGGCCAGCGCGGCGTGCCAGGATGTGCCGATACCGACCAGATAGATCCGGCGGCGGGCGGCCAGCGCAGGACCCAGGTCATCGCAGATGGCAGATTGGCTGGCCAACACCGATGCGATTGCGTCGGGTTGCGACACGATCGCGTCGTACATGTAGTAGGGGTGGGACTGTCGGAGTGCGGGTGTGGTCATGGTTATTAGGTTCCCCTGATTATCCGCGTAGACGGGCGTTCGACGGCGGGCGAGTCTGGATGACATGATAGCAGGGAGCCGCGCGGCGGGGACGGGGGCTGGCAACTGCTGTGTTATGATTGCGCTGCCGGCGGAGCAGGTTACATAACCGAGGCCGACCGGCGCTATGATACGCACAGGAGGCTCGATTATGCCATTCGGAGGCAATGACTGGCTCGCCACCCGGCCGGAAGAAACGCTGGAGCCAGAGATACCAATTTGCGACCCGCACCATCATTTTTGGGATTACCGCACCGAGCGGATTCCCTACCAGCGCTACCTGCTGCACGAGCTGGCCGAAGATATCAACAGCGGTCATAACGTACGCTCCACGGTGTTTGTGGAGGCACGGTCGATGTATCGCAGCACGGGCCCGGAGGAAATGCGTCCGGTGGGCGAGGTGGAATTTGTGCAGGGCCTGGGGGGGGGGGGGGTGGGGGGGTGGGTTGGGGGGGGTGGGGGGGGGGGGGGTGGGGGGGGGTGGGGTGGGGGGTGGGGTGGGTGTTGTGGGGGGGGGGGGGGGGGGGGTTGGGTGGGTGTGTGGGTGGGGGGGTGGGTGTGGGGGGGGTTGGGGGGTGGTGGTGGGGTGTGGTGGGGGGGGTTGGTTTGGTGTGTTGGGGGGGGGGGGGGGTGTTGTGGGGGGGGGGGTGGGGGTGGGGTGGGGGGTTGGAAAAACGAGAAAAGTGGAAGGAAACGAAAAAAGGGAGGAGAAGGGCGAGGGTAGGGGAGAGAAAAGGTTGGTACAAAAAAGAAGGAGCAAGGGAAGGGGGGGCGAAACGAGAGAGAGTCGGGCAGAAAGGGAAGAATAAAAAGGGGAGACGGGGAGGGAAGGGAGACGAGAACCAAGAGACAAGGATAGGAGAAGAGAAACCAATACAAACGAACGAGGAAGTGTACAGAGGTGAGGGCAAAGGGTTAAAGATGGAATACAAGCGAAAAGGGTGTGAGGAAAGTAGGAGGTGGTGGCGAAAGTGAAAATAAGGGGAAGCGGAGGGAGAGGCGGGGGGGAGACGAGGTGACAAAACAAGAAGAAAAGAGATGGAGAATGGAAAGAAATAGAAAAAAAAGCGAGGCGAGTGTAAGGGAGAAATGCAGCGAAGAGTCGAGTAGTTGGGTTTGAAGGGTGTGACGAAATAAAGAGGGAGACGTAGGTGAGGAGGGCAGAAGTGGGGGAAAGAAATAAGGGTGCGAGAAAACAAGAAGAAGAAGGCGGATGCGGGACACACGGATAGGGACAAGAGAAAGGCAAGAGAACAGAATGACAAGAAAGGGAGGAAGAGGGAGAGGAAGCAGAAAACAAGAGGGTTCGGACTTGGTAAAGGAATGGAGGCTGAAAAATAGGTGGGGGAGAAAGTAAGAAACCAACGGCGCGGAGAGGAGGGGAAAAGAAGACCTGAAAGAAAGGAGGGCTAGAGGTCGGGAGCGAAAACGCGAGCGTACGAAATTAGGGCAGACGAACTGTAAAAGAATGAAGGAATAAGAAGGACGAAAAGACTTGGAAGAATAGAATAAGAGACTGAAAGCACGAATGGAAAAAAAGGAAGGCAAGGAGTAACAAACCGAGAAAGGAAAAAAATGAGAAAAAACAGAACGTGAAGAAGAGTGGAGACAGCAACATGAGTGGTGTGAAACCGAATTGACAAAGAGTAAAAATGGCAAACGGAGCGGAGGAAAACAGAAAACGGAAAAAGAGACAAGAGGGGGGAGGGAGTCCAGTCGGCACGTGCAAGAGAAAATAAAAGACGAGGGGCAAAGATAGGGGAAGGAAAGAAACACAGGAAGGGACTATGGAGTAGAAAGAAAGAAAGGCAATGATCCTAAAGAAACTAGAGAAAAGAAAAAAGCTGAGAAAATAAAGGGGGGAAAGCGAAGAAAAGGAGAAGAAAAAGACAAAGTACAAAGACGGGAAACTAGAGAAAAGGGAAAACGAAGAAGGTAGAAGAGCGTAAGAATGATCGACAGAGGGAAGAGGGGTGGGGGTGGACGACTGAGACACAAGGGAAAAAAGAGAAACGAAAACAGTGAGGATGAAAAAGACGAACAGAATGGGAAGGGGGTGAGACAGAGAAGCGGATGGTCAATGAAGAAGAGGAGGAAGGCTGGAGAGTACAAGGATGCGATAGGAAAAATAGTCAGTATCGAGGATACAGGGAAACGCAAGATAGAGAGGCAACGTAAATGGGGCAAGTAAGAAGGAAGAGAACAAGTATAGGAAGAACAGGAAAGGGTAGGATAAAAAAAAACAGAAGTGAAAAGAAAAAGGGCGAAAGGGGCAAAAGAAGAAAGGAAAAAAGGGTGTGAGTATGGAAGGGGTTAGATAGAAGAAGGTTAAAGAAAAATGAAGGGAGACGGTAAAGGACCAAGCGCAGCAAAAAAAAAAGAACAAGGTAAAGGGGGTAGACCGAGAAGAATGACGGGGGGAGAAGCCAAGATTAGGAGTGTACAAGACAGTGAGCGAAGAAAACAGAGAAAGGAAGGGAGGACCGTGGGGAACAAGAGAGGGGAAGGGGATGAATAAAAGAAGAAGGGCGAAGAGGAATACGCGAGGAAGAAAGAAATAACAAGAGGCGGGTGATAGGTGAAACGAAGAAAGAACACAGCAGGCGGACGGAGGAGTACTAGACACAAAAAGGAGGGCAGGATCACGAAAAAGACGAAAGGTGGAAAGGAGAGAAATAGAGTCGGAAAAGGGAAGTGGAGCGAATCGAGAAAAGAGAAAGAACAAAGCAAAGACGAAAGATAATCCTTTCTTTTCACTTGCCGGCGGCGGCCATCGGCCAAACGACTTACGGGCCGGGTCGGGCGGCAGCATCCATCGTGGGACATGCGAATCTGCACCTGGGCGATGGCGTGAAACCGGTGCTGGAGGCGTTGCAGGCAGCCAGCCCCAACCGGTTCCGCGGTATCCGCCACTCGGTTACCTGGGACCCGCATCCAGAGATTGAGAATACCGCGGCGCACAACCAGCAGGGTCAGCTGGCCAGCGACAACTTCATGGCCGGCGCCAGGGTCCTGGCAAGCATGGGCCTAACGCTGGAAGGCTGGATGTATTTCCCGCAGCTGCCGGAACTGGCCGATTTCGCCAAAGCCGTACCCGACCTGACCATCATCCTGAACCACATCGGCGGTCTGCTGCGCACCGGCCCGTATGGAAACAACCAGGAAGAAGTGCTGGACACGTGGCGCAAGGGCATCACCGCCGCTGCGTCGGCTCCCAACGTGGTGATCAAGCTGGGCGGCATCGGGATGCCCCGCACCGGCTTTGACTGGCACGAGCGGACCGTCCCCATCGGCTCCGAGGAACTGGCGGAAGGCATGGCGCCGTTCATGCAGCACTGTATCGAACAGTTCGGGCCGGATCGCTGCATGTTCGAGAGCAACTTCCCGGTGGACAAGGTGTCCTATTCGTACAACGTGATGTACAACGCCTTCAAGCGTCTGTCCAGCGGATACTCGGCCACGGAGCGCGCTGCCATGTTCCATGACACCGCCGCCCGCGTGTACCGCGTGGAGATCTAAGCAACACACAGTCCCAACGCCCGATGCACCGCCGTTCCCAACGGATTCGACCAAGGAGGCAGGATTATGGCAGCACCGATCAACGACTGGCTGGCTCAAACGGTTGAGCCGACCCTGGAACCTGATTTGTCCATCTGCGACCCGCATCACCATTTTTGGGATCAGCGACCCGACCGGGTTGAGCCACGCTACATGCTGGACCAGCTCATGGCCGACACCGGCAGCGGCCACAACATTGTGTCCACGGTGTTTGTGGAGGCGCGGTCGATGTACCGGGACGGGGCATCGGACGAGATGCGCCCCGTCGGCGAGATGGAATTCGTGCAGGGCATCGCTGCCCAGAGCGCCAGCGGCATCTACGGCAACACCCGCGCGGCTCACGGGATTGTGGGCCATGCGAATCTGCACCTGGGGAGCAATGTGCGCCCGGTGCTGGAAGCGTTGCGCGCGGCCAGCCCCAACCGGTTCAGCGGCATCCGCCACGGCGTGGGATGGGACCCTCATCCGGAGATTGCCAGCCCCGGCGCGTATCCGTTCCCGAATCAACTTGCCAGTGACCACTACCGGGCCGGCGCCCGGGTGCTGGCCGAAATGAACCTGTCGCTGGATGTGTCGTGTTTGCATCCGCAACTGCCCGAGGTGGCCGATTTCGCCCGGGCCGTTCCCGACCTGACCATCGTGCTGAACCATGTGGGCGGCCTGATGCGTACGGGACCGTATGCCAGTAATCCGGACGAAACGATGGCCAACTGGCGCGCCGGGATCGCGGCGGCAGCCTCGGCTCCCAACGTGGTGCTCAAGCTGGGCGGCGTCGGGATGGCTCGCACGGGGTTCGACTGGCATCAACGCTCGACACCGGTTGGCTCAGAAGAGGTGGCGACGTCGATCGACCCGATTATGCGTTACTGCATCGAACAATTCGGGCCGAGCCGCTGTATGTTCGAGAGCAACTTCCCGGTGGACAAGGAATCGTTCTCGTATCATGTGATGTGGAACGCCTTCAAGCGAATGTCGGCGGACTTTTCGGCCAGCGAGCGGGCGGATATGTTCCACGATTGCGCGGCGCGGGCGTATCGTTTGGGGTAGGAAGGTTGCGTGTCATTGCGGAGGGTGTTCAGACGTATCATTCCGGTTACCGCATAAAGTTCTGTCCCCGTAGCGAGATTGCCGCGCTTCGCTCGCAATGACAGTAGCGGGAGGATGGGTTGCCCGCGCACCCCTCCCCTCTACCGGCGAGAGGGAATAATTGAGCTTGAATTTTTCAGAACGCGAGCGGGCCATTTTCCCGGAGCGGACCGGCAGCATGGATCTCATCAGGAGGTTGAACTTGGCAATGGATCCCAGGAGTTTCCCACCGGAGTTTTTCCAGCGGGAAGACGAGAGCAATGACGCCGAGTTTTACACCATGCCGCGGCTGGTGGTTCACATTGACGATGGGGCCATTGACGCGGTGGGCAAGCTGTTTCGGCGGTTGATACCGGAGCAGGCCGAAGTGCTGGACCTGATGACCAGTTGGCGGACCCACTGGCCCGACGATCACCCGCGCAAACGGATCGTGGGTCTGGGTATGAATGCTGCCGAGATGGCCGACAACCCGCAACTGACCGAATACGTCCTGCGGGACATCAACGCCGATCCATCACTGCCCTTCGATGATGAGTCTTTCGATGCCGTGGTGATCACGGTGTCGGTGCAGTACCTGACCCACCCACTGGATGTGTTCTCGGAAGTTTCCAGGATACTGCGGCCGGGTGGGGTATTTGTGGTTTCGTTTTCCAACCGGTGCTTCCCCACCAAGGCGGTGCGGGTGTGGAGAGGGACCAACGACGAAGACCACATCGAGCTGGTAGCGTCATATATGCACCACGCCGGAGGATTGGCTGGGGTGCGGGGCGGGTTGTCCAACGCTGACGACTCGCCGCCCTCGGATCCGCTGTTCGCGGTATTTTCGTACAAGGGGCTGGAAACCACGGAGCCGGAGACCGCCGCCGGCTGAACCCGGGCCGAACCGCCTGGCGGTGATCAGTCGGCTACTTCCAGAATCATCTCCACTTCCACGGGTGCGCCCCTGGGAAGGGCGGCCATACCGACTGCGGAACGGGCGTGGCGTCCGGATTCGCCGTAGAGCTCCACGAGCAGGTCGGATGCACCGTTGCCCACAAGGGGTTGCTGGTCGAAGGATGGGTCGCTGTTGACCATCACCAGCAGCTTGACGACACGCTGCACCTTGTCCAGATCGCCGATTATGCTTTTGGCAGCGGAGAGGCAATTGACGGCGCTCTGGCGGGCGGCGGCAGCGCCCTCTTCGACGCTGACCTCGCTTCCCAGCTTGCCGGTGTGAGGCATGGTGCCGTCGGGTAATCGGGGCAGGTTGCCGGATACAAACACCAGGTTGCCGGTGCGGACTGCCGGCACGAAGTTGCCAATGGCCGGATTGGGTTCGGTAACGGTAAGACCCATCTCGGCCAGTTTGCGTTCGATTTCCATTTGGGGACTCTCCTGTAAATGTATTGGGGGACGCAGCGGCGTGAACAATATAGATTGGTTCTATGCTATCGGGGTTTTCAAACCGGGGGCAATGGCCGGAAACGGTTTACGATGGGCAGGCGGCGGTCTTTGCCGAAGGCGCGGGGCGTAATTTTCACACCGGGCGGAGCCTGACGCCGTTTGTACTCGTTGCGATCAACAAAGGTTACGACCTGCCGCACCCAGTCGGGGTTGTGTCCCATAGCCACCATGTCGGCATAGCTAAAGTCGTCTTCAACGTAGGCTTTGATGATGGGGTCGAGCTGCTCGTAGGGAGGCAGGGTGTCCTGGTCAGTTTGGTCGGGGCGCAGTTCGGCGCTGGGAGGTTTGACCAGCACGGAAATGGGTATGAGGGGTCGTCCGTTGGGGGTGCCGGCGTTACGCCATCGGCTCAGGGCGTAAACCAGGGTTTTGGGCACGTCTTTCAGCACGGCAAACCCGCCGGCCATGTCGCCGTAGAGCGTGGCGTAGCCCATCGCCATTTCGCTCTTGTTGCCGGTGGTCAGCACGATCCAGCCGAATTTGTTGGATATGGTCATTAGCACATTGCCGCGGATACGGGCCTGGACGTTCTCCTCGGCGACGTTGGGCTCGGCGCCGGCGAACCGGTCGGCCAGCATGTCGGTGAAGGCCACGTGGGCCGGCTCGATGGGGATGCGCCACAGCTTGATGCCGAGGTTGTCGGCAAGTTCCTGGGAATCGGAGACGCTGCCCTCCGACGAGTAGCGGGACGGCATGGTTACTCCCACCACGTTCTCGGCGCCGAGGGCATCTGCTGCTATGGTGGCGGTGAGCGCGGAATCAATACCGCCGGAGAGGCCGATCAGCGCGCCGCGAAATCCTGACTTGTGGACGTAGTCGCGTGTACCCACGACCAGGGCCTGGTACACCTCTTCCTCGTCGGTGAGGTTGGGGAACAGAGGCGATTCGACGGGGATGCGGCGATTGGCAAACTGGTGTTCAGAAATTGGCGTTACCTGGGCCCGCCCCACCTCGTGCAGGATGTTGGGGTTTTCTTTGCGGGGTTTGGGGTCGCGGAGACGCTGGCGAAACACGGACTCAACGTCCAGATCGGCGACGATGAGCTTGTCCTCGAAGGCTGGCCCGCGGGAAATCACGGAGCCGTCGGGAGCGCACACGATGCTGGCGCCGTCGAAAACGAGCTCATCCTGCCCTCCGACAGTATTCAGGTAGGCTACGAACACGCCGTTGTCAGCAGCGCGGGTGGAGATCATGCGCTCGCGCTGGGCGGATTTGCCGGCGTGGAATGGTGATGCGTTGATGTTGACGATGATTTCGGCGCCGGCATCGCGCTGCACGGCGATGGGTCCGACGGGGTACCAAATATCTTCGCAGATATTGACGCCCACCGTGGCGCCGTTGATGATGTACACGGGGCAAACTTCGCCGCGACGGAAATAGCGGTCTTCATCGAACACGCCATAGTTGGGCAAGTACATCTTGCGATACCAGTCCACCAGGCGTCGGTCGTCGATGATGGCGGCGGCGTTGGCGATGTCGGAGCCCACCTCGACACAACCGACGACGGCCGCGATGCCTCGGGCGGCGGCAGCGATGCGTTCTACGGCGGCGGTGTTCTCGGAGAGGAAAGAGGGCTTGAACAGCAGGTCTTCGGGCGGGTAGCCGGTTACGGCCAGTTCAGGGAACGCCACCAGATCGGCGTGGGACGCCCGCGCCTGGTCGATCAGCTCGATGATGCGGGTTGTGTTGCCGGCAATGTCGCCCACGGTGGGGTTGAATTGGGCCAGAGCCAACCGGAAGGAACGTTTCATAGAATTTACTGTGCTATGTGGGGAATTGCGCCGATGGTGTCTGTGCTGTCGCGGCTATTATAGCCTAGCCGGGAAGCCGGTCGCCGGCGCGGTGAATCTGACGACCGGAAGGCAACTGGGCTGCGATGGTTGAGATGATCGCGGAGGGGACGGTTGGCACCTGCTATAATTTGCGACACTGGCAGCGGGCGTTTCATAGCTTCCGAATTTATCCCGTTATAAACCACTGGACTGCGTCATCATTTCATCCAACTGCCAAAAGGAATTGGTGGACGGCCGGCGTCGGAATCGCGCCCTATAATGCGTGGTCTGCAATCCCGGGTGGCCCGGATCACCCCCTTTTACTATGGGTGGGTAATACTGGGGTTGACCGGCGTGGCATCGTATTCGGCGCGGCCGCTGATGGCGGTGGCGGTGTTGACGGTGTTCGTGGTTCCCATGGGGGACGAGTTTGGCTGGACGAGAGCGCAGATGTCCGGCGCGGTTAGTTTGGGCGGAGCATTCGCGGTGGTGCTGTCGCCGGTGGTGGGGCCGCTGATCGACCGGTACGGTTCGGGTATGGTGGTGGGCATATCGTCGGCGATTGCGGGCGTGTGCGCTCTTGGCCTGGGGATGGTGAACACCATCTGGCTGTTTTACCTGGTGTATGTGCCCGGGCGGGCGGCGTTTGCCAGCCCACTGGAGATGGGGACGTCCACTGCGGTAAGCAACTGGTTCATCCGCCGCCGGCCGTTCGCCCTGGCGATGAACCACGTGGTGCAGGGATCGGGACTGGCTGTCATGCCGCTGGTGGCCCAGATGATAATTGGTGTGTCGGGGAATTGGCCGGCGGCGTGGTATGCCCTGGGTATCTGGACGCTGGTGGTGGGGGCGGCGCCGGCCGTTCTGTTGATGGGTCGGCGGCCAGAGGATTTGGGTCTGTTGCCGGATGGCGATACCGAGGCGTCGATTCGGCGCCGGGTGGCGTCAGGACGCCGCCCGCAAACGACGTCGGACGAAATCAATTTTACGTTGCGCCAGGCCATGCGTACCCGCGCTTTCTGGTTGATGATGCTGTTTGCGTTTGCCGGTTTTATCGTGCAGGCTGGGGTTTCGCTGCACCAGGTTCCTCACTTTATTGACCAGGGAGTGCCCGCTTCGGTGGCGGTGTGGACGGCCAGTATTTTTGCAATCTCCCAGGTGCCGGCGAGTCTGCTATGGTCGGCGTTGAGCCAGCGGTTCGCGATGCGGTTTATCATGCCAGTGGCCGGTTTGGTGGTGAGCGGCGGAGCCATCATCACCGCGTTCTCCGACGGTATCGCGCTGGGATTAGTGGGGGGATTTGTCCTCGGGTTCGGCGTCGCCGGTTTGCACATAATCAGCCGGTTAACCTGGGCCGACTATTTCGGGCGTCTCCACCTTGGAAAGATATGGGCCTGGGGGCTGGCAGCACAGGTGGGGGGGCAGGCGCTGGGACCAATCGCGGCTGGTATCGCCGTGGACCAAATGAATAGCTACCTGCCGGTGTTCACAGCGTTTGGGATCAATCTGGGTGCGGTATCCATTTTGATGCTTGCTGCGACGCGGCCGACACGAGATCAAGCAGCGGGAGGGCAGAGGATACCCGTTCCCGGCGAGGATCAGGCGCAGTTGAACTCCCCGCATGTATAATTGCGGGCATGGGGCTGCACCATGCCCGGCAACCGGCGCCGCTCGATAGCGCGGCAACCTGATACGATCGACCATACCGATATGCGAACCACGATATTGTCCCGGATAGTATTTTTGCCGGCGTTTCTGGTGTTGGTCGTTTTGTTGGCTGCCTGCGGCAACGGTTTGCCCACACCAACGGGAACGCCGGCCCCAACGCCCACAGCTCAGGCGGTGGTGGAGCTTTACGAGTTTTTTCAGGCGGAAAAGGAGCGAAATCCCGTTCGTTTCGACAGGATCATGGAAGACGAAGATCTGTTCGGCTTCACGGGCATTGTCAGCAAGATAGACGGATCAACGATTCGGTTTCACATCGCGGAACGACGCCTGAGAAGGGACCTGTTCGTGGAGTGCGAATTCCGGGAATCCCAGGATATGCTGAGCCTCAGCGTGGGCGAAAGGGCGACGCTGTACGGAAAAATAGACAAGGCCAAACGCGTAGTGCGATTTGAGGAGTGCCGGCTCGCCGGATCACCGATGCCGGAACGGTAGGCTCGCCTTCCCTCACGCGCACCAGCTTTATTCCTCACAATGACAGATGCCACTGCGGCGAGATTGCCACGCTGCGTTCGCAATGACAGGAGCTGCGGCGGTCGGCGGGATCGGACGGCTAATCGGCGCTGACGGCGGCGATGGTCTCCAGGCCCAGGCTGCGGCGCAGGTAACGGCCCGTGTGCGACTGCTCGCACTCCGCCAGCATCTCGGGAGTGCCACATGCCAGCAGGTTGCCGCCCTCGTGGCCCGCACCGGGACCTAGGTCGATGACCCAGTCGGCGTTCTTGATCAGGTCCAGGTTGTGCTCGATGAGCAACACCGAATTGCCCTGATCGACGAGCCGGTGCAGCACTCGCAACAGAGCGGCGCAGTCTTCGAAGGACAGTCCGGTGGTGGGCTCATCCAAAAGGTACAGGGTGCGACCGGTGGCGCGGCGCGACAGTTCGGTGGCCAGCTTGACCCGTTGCGCCTCGCCGCCGGACAGGGTGGTTGCCGGCTGGCCGAGGCGAATGTAACCCAAACCCACGTCGCGCAGCGTTTCCAGCCGGTTGCGGATGCGGGCGAAGTTCCAGAAAAAATCCAGGGCGGTTTCCACGGTCATGGACAGCACGTCGGCGATGGACTGGTCGCGCAGAGTAACTTCCAGGGCCTCCCGGTTGTAGCGCCGGCCCTGACAAATTTCGCAGGGGACGGTTACGTCGGGGAGGAACTGCATCTCGATCTGGATGTAGCCCTCGCCCTGACAGGCTTCGCATCGGCCACCCTTGACGTTGAACGAGAAACGGCCAGGCTTGTAACCGCGTATGCGTGCTTCGGGCAGGGTTGCGAACAACTCCCGGATGGGTGTGAATGCGCCGGTGTAGGTTGCCGGATTGCTGCGAGGCGTGCGTCCGATGGGCGACTGGTCGATGTTGACCACCTTGTCGATGTGGTGGATGCCGGTTACGTCGTCGTGGTCGCCGGGACGGTCGCGACCCTGGGCCACGGCCTGCGCGAGGCGTTTGTACAGAATGTCATATACCAACGTGCTTTTGCCGCTGCCCGACACACCGGTGACGCAGCCCAGCAATCCGAGGGGGAACTCCACGTCGATGCCCTTGAGGTTGTTTTCGCGGGCTCCGGTGACGGAGATGGCCAGGCCGTTGCCGGTGCGGCGTTCTTCGGGAACCGGGATGCTTTTGCGACCGCTGAGGTAAGCGCCGGTGAGCGAATTGACGTTATTCATGACGGCGGCCACGTCGCCGGTGGCCACGATTTCGCCACCGTGTTCGCCGGCCCCTGGCCCCAAATCCACGATATAGTCGGCGGCGCGCATCATGGCGTCGTCGTGCTCAACAACAATGACGGTGTTGCCCATGTCGCGCAGGCGGGTGAGGGTGCCAATGAGTCGATGGTCGTCGTGGGGGTGCAGGCCAACGGTGGGCTCATCGCAGACGTAGAGCACGCCGGTCAATCCGCTGCCGATCTGCGTGGCCAGCCGAACCCGCTGCGCCTCGCCGCCGGAGAGCGTGCGGGCCGTGCGGCTCATGGTCACGTAGTCGAGACCGATGCTGTCGAGGAAATGCAGACGACCTTCGATTTCTTTGAGAATCTGGTCGGCGATGGTCATATCCCGCTCGGTAAGCGTGGCGGGCGCCGGTGTTGCGGGTAGCGCGTTGCGACGGGTGCGCCGGCGCCGGGTCGCGGTTCCGTTGGTGGGAGCGGCTTCGGCGGGTACCAGGGTTGCGGTGGGCTCGTGTCCGTTGGTTTCGCTGTGCCCGTTTACCGAACCATTTTCCGATGGGTCAGCGCCCGGTTTGATGCTGCGGATCCAGCGCAGGCCCTGGCCGATGGTAAGGCCGGTTACCTCCATGATGTTTTGGCCGCAGACCAGAACGCCCAGCGCTTCGGGCCGCAGGCGGGCGCCGTCGCAGGATCGGCAGGCCCGTTGGGCCATATAACGCTCGATCTCGCTGCGGGTGTGGTCTGACTCGGTGTCGCGGTAACGGCGCTGCAGGTTAGGGATTACACCCTCGTAGGTGGTGTTCCAGGCGTAGGTGCGGCCGCGACCGGTGCGATGGCGCACCTGCACCTTGAGCTTGCCGGCGCCGTAGAGGATGACGTTCATCTGATCGTCGGTGAGTTCGCGCACGGGAATCTGGGGAGAGAAGTCGAACTCGCTGGCCACGGCTTCCATCATGCTGGCGTACCAGGCATTGGCAGCGCCGGAGCGGGCCCAGGGAACGATGGCGCCTTCCAGCAGGGACAGGGAGCGGTTTTGAATCACCAGGCCGGGGTCCACTTCTAACTGGTAGCCCAGGCCGGTGCAGGTCGAGCAGGCTCCGTGGGGGCTGTTGAAGCTGAAGGTGCGCGGCTCGATCTCGGGCAGGCTGACACCGCAGGCGACGCAGGCGAACTGTTCACTGAACACGATATCGTCGTCGCCCTCCCGGGCCACGGTGAGGACACCTTCGCCCTCGCGCAGGGCGGTTTCCACCGACTCGGTAACCCGGCTGGTTTCGGTGTCGCTGCGGATGATCAGGCGGTCGACCACGATGTCGATGTAGTGCCACTTCTGCTTGTCGAGGGTGAGGGCGTCGGTTTCTTCGACCAGCATCACATCGCCATTGACGCGCACGCGGACGAAACCTCCGCGACGGGTGGCTTCGAACACCTCGCGATGCTCGCCCTTCTTGCGGCGAATCTTGGGAGCCAGCAGGGTGATGCGTGACGATTCGGGCAGATTCAGGATGGCATCGACAATCTGCTGTACGGTTTGGCGGGCCACCGGGTTGCCGCACTTGGGGCAGTGGGGCTTGCCGATGCGGGCGAACAGGAGCCGGAGGTAGTCGTAAATCTCAGTAACCGTCCCAACCGTGGAACGGGGGTTGTGGGAAACTCCCTTCTGGTCGATGGAGATGGCAGGCGACAATCCCTCGATGTAGTCGACATCGGGTTTATCCATGCGACCAAGGAACTGACGGGCATAGGCCGACAGGGATTCGACGTAACGCCGTTGTCCCTCGGCGTAGATGGTGTCGAAGGCGAGGCTGCTTTTGCCCGATCCGGAGACGCCGGTGATAACCACCAAGCGGTCTCTGGGGATGGTTACGTCGATGTTCTTGAGGTTGTGCTCGCGGGCACCCTTGATGTAGATGACGTCCTGAGGCATAACAGCCCCAATTTTACCACCTGTTGCGGCGCGTTGCCTTCACGCCAATTCTTGCCCCGGAGCACGGGTTGGATAATAGTTGCGGGTCTACTCCAGTTCGACGAGGGGATCGTTGGCGCTGACTGAGTCGAGGGGCTGTACGAACACGGTTTTAACCACGCCGTCCCGGTGGGCCAGAATGCTCTGTTCCATTTTCATCGCTTCGACCACGCACACTTCATCCCCGGCGGACACCGCGTCACCCGGACGCACCATCACCGACATGACGCGGCCCGGCATGGGTGAACGCAGGATGTCGTCATTGACGGGGGCTGCTGCGCCGGGGCCGCCAGGCGTTGGGGCGTCAGGTACGGAGAGTCCGCCAGACGGACGGCCCCGGCGCGGCGGAGTGGGTGCGTCGGCCACTCCGATGTCGATAAGAAAGGTTTCGCCATCTACGGTAACCTCGACCGGCGACTGGCCAAGGTCGCCAACCTCTACGGTGTACCACTGGTCGCCGATGCGTACCCTTATCGTTGCCACGCTACCAGGTTGCGCTCCCCAAACGCGAATGGAATAGTTCCCGGCGACCCTGCATCCGCCAGCGCGAGCCAGGGGCCTGTGCGCCCGCCGGGTCCTGCTGTCCGGCCTGAGCAGCCAGAACCGCGGCCCCGATGGCGGCGGCCAGCGCCCGAGGGTTCTGGGCGAGGCCGGGATCATATCCGTTGTGGTGTCCGTTGGTGGACACTGCCGAACTGTGGCCGTTCATGGCGGCCCGGCGGGATTGCTGTCGCCGGTCCAAAATATCGGCCAGGCTGCCGGTATTGTATGTCCCGGACGTGAATTCGGGACTGGCAAGAACATCGCGCAGCAGCGGTATGTTGGTGGTGACGCCTTCAATGGTGAAATCGGCCAGTGCAGTGTCCAATGCGGCGATGGCGGCGTCACGGTCGGGAGCCCAAACCATGACCTTGGCCAACAGCGGTTCGTAGTGTAGCGAAACCTCGTAACCGATGCAAAGCGCGGTATCCACGCGGACGTTGTCTCCGTGGGGCAGGAGGAGATCGGTGACGACGCCGGTGTTGGGCAGGCAGGTGTCGGGGTCTTCCGGATATACGCGGGCCTCGATGGCGTGGCCGTTGGCCGTGATGTCACCCTGGCGCTGGGAGAAGGCGATGCCGGCAGCCGACTGGAGCTGCATCTCAACGATGTCCTGTCCGGTGAGCAGCTCGGTTACGCCGTGCTCGACCTGCAACCGGGGGTTCATCTCGAGGAAGAAGAAATGGCCGTCGGGGGTAACCAGGAATTCGACAGTGCCGGCGTTGGTGTAACCAACCTCGCGGCCCAACTGGCGGGACAGGCGACCGATTTGTTCCCGTACGTCTGCGGGGCAGTTTGGCCGATGCCGGCGTTTCTTCGATGAGTTTCTGGTTGCGACGCTGGATGGAACAGTCGCGCTCGTAGAGGTGCAACACGTTGCCATACTGGTCGGCGATGAGCTGGACTTCGACATGGGACGCGCCCTGAAGGTAACGTTCGTAGAACAGGCTGGGGTCGGCAAAGGCGGCCTGGGCGGTTTTGCGGGTCCGCTCGATGATGGGCTCCAGTTCCGCCATGGTGTGCACCACGTGGATGCCGATGCCGCCGCCACCGGAGATGGCTTTTACCATCATGGGGAAGCCCAGTTCCCTCGCCCTGGTAATTGCCTCATCGTCTTTGACGGGTTCTTCGGTGCCGGGCATCACCGGCAAGCCGGGACTTGCGGGCGACGCGGCGGGCGGAGAGTTTGTCGCCCATCTGGTTGAGCACCTCTTCGCCGGGGCCGATGAAGACGATGCCATTGGATTTGCACCGGCGGGCGAGCTCGGAGTTTTCCGAAAGGAACCCGTATCCCGGATGGATGGCCTCAGCGCCGGTGTCCCGGCAGGCCGCCAGCACGGCGTCGATGTTCAGGTAGGAATCGGTGGCTGCCGCGCCGCCGATGCAAACTGACTCGTCGGCCATGCGGGTGTGCATGGTTCCCCGGTCGGCCTCGGAATACACGGCGACGGTTGCGACGCCCATGCGCTGGCAGGTACGAATGATGCGGGCGGCTATCTCGCCCCGGTTAGCAACCAATACTTTGCTGAACATTTGATGTCCCTCGGTATCGAACCGTATGGGTTACCCGGCCGCGGTTCCTGTTGTGGCAAGAATGATCGCAGCGGCGGACCCGGCGGGCCTGTTGGTGTTTACGCAGGATCGCGACAACACCGTGGTGATAACCGACTTTTTAATCCATTTGGTGTTAACCGTTCAACAGCGGCGGGGCGAGTTTGAGACTAAATCGAAGCCGTGCCGGTTTTTTCGATGAATGCGACCGAGTTGATTCTCCCGTCCAACCAGTACTGGAGGCAGGACGACAGCACTTCGTTGACCTCTCTCTGCACGAGCGAGGGCACCCGCAAATCGGGGAGCGCGGATACCAGCGGCGTACGGTGCAGCAGACGCAGTACCTTGAGGGCGGGTAAAGACAGGGGACGCGACAACGCTTCGGTTGGAACGCAATCCAGGCACATGGTTCCGCCGGCCCCGGCTGCGAAGCGGTGGCGTTCCGGTTCCAGCGGCGAGCCGCAGTCGATGCAGGAGAACAACTCGGGCATGAAACCCGACAGCCGCAGCAGCCGGATTTCGAAGTACCGCAGGTGCAAATCGGTGGCCGACCCGGATTCCATGACGTTGAGGGTTTGCAGGGTGAGATCGAAAAGTTCCGCGTTGGGTTCGGAAAGAGCGCTGAAGCCATCCACCAGTTCGACCACGTACAGGGCGCGGGATAGCAAGTGGTAGTCGGCCTTCACGGCCGCGAATACGCTGCGGTCTTCCGCTTCGGCGACGGTGTCCAGCGTGCGACCGCGAGCCAGGGCGAGGTTGAGCAGCGTGAGGGGCTCGAAATGGCCGACCAGCTTGCCGTTGATGCGGCGGGCGCCGCGGGCGACGACTTCGAGTTTGCCGTGCTCGCGGGTGAGCAGGGTCGAAAGGACGTCGGCCTCGCCGATGGGTCTCTTGCGCAGGGTGAGTCCCAGAGCCCGGTAGGTGCGCGGCAGAGTCATGGCGCTATTCCAGCTCGCTGCGGCCCGAGAAGGCGCGGCTGAGGGTGAGCTCGTCGGCGAATTCCAGGGTGCCGCCGACCGGTAATCCGCGGGCGAGGCGGGTGATGCGAATACCGGATCCGTTCAGGCGGCGATGGATGAAATCGGCGGTGGCGTCGCCTTCCAGCGTGGAGTTGGTGGCGATGATCAGCTCACGGAAGGGGTTATCTTCGCGCTGCAATCTGCCAAACAACTGGGGCAGGTGAATGTCTTCGGGGCCAATTCCGTTGAGGGGCGACAGGACGCCATGCAGGACGTGATACAGGCCGCGAAACGCTCGGGTGCGTTCCAGCGCAACGAGGTCGCGGCTTTCTTCGACCACGCAGATCTGGTCCTGGTTGCGCTGTGGGTTGGAGCAGATATCGCAAGGGGAGGCATCGGTGAGGTTGCGACATTCGGCACAGAAAAGGATGAGGTCTTTGACGCTGGTGATGGCGTCGGTCAGCGTCCGGGCGTCTTCGGCCGGCATCTGCGCGATGTGGTAGGCGATGCGCTGGGCGCTCTTCGGCCCGATGCCGGGCAGCCGGTGCAACTCGGAGATAAGTTGTCCGAGCGAACGGGTGGTCCCGGGGCCGGGATCATTCAGCATGGCGCTTCAGGCGTAGTGTGGTTAGTTGCGAAAGGGACGGGCGTACCGTGTGATGCTGGCAACCCACTGGATCAGGTCAGGCCGGGAATGTTGAGCCCTCCGGTAACCTCACCCATCTTTTCGGCGGCCAACTGCTGGGTGCGGGCGGAGGCGTCGTTGACGGCGGCGGCGACCAGGTCCTGCAGCAGGTCGATGTCCTCGGCTGCTTCGGGCTCGATGATGACTTCGGACACTTCCTGTTTGCCGTTCATGGTGACGCGCACCACGCCACCGCCGGCGGAGCCCTGGACGGTGAGTTCTTCGAGTTCCTGCTGCACCTTGGCCAACCGGTTTTGCAACTGCTGGGCCTGGCGCATCATCTTTCGGTTCATCATAGTTGGTTCGGAGCCTCCTGTTGGTCTTCTACGATACGCGCGCCCAAGCCAATGGCGGTGCGTAGCAAATGGCTGTCTTGAGCGGAATTGCGCGCCGGGCGGTTGTTTTCGCCGTTACCTCCGACCAGTGTAACCTCAAATGGATGATGGGTACCGAAACACTGCTCGATGGCCTGCTCGATGGTATCACGAACTTTGGGGTCGGCCAGTTCTTCCTGCATACGGTCCAGGTTGGCCACGTTACGAAACGGCAGCATCAAGGTGGCGCCGTCGTCGGAGAGGTGCACGCTTTCGGTACGACAATCGCGCAGCAGCGCGCCCAGGCTGTATTTGTTTCCCTTGGTTCGGCTCAGCTGGCGTACAGTGTCTTCCCATAGGCCCTGGATTCCACCCGCGACGCCCGGGGTTGGCGATGGAGCCGCAGCGGGGGTTCGGGAAGGTTGCATCGGGGGAGCGCCGGTTGGCGGCGGCGAAGTCGGGATTGCGGCAGGTGGCCGGTCGGCGGGCTGGGGCGTGGCGGGCCGCTGTGGGGGCGGGCGTCGGGAGACGGCTGGCTGTTGGGTACGCGCCGGCTGGGGTACCGAGGTTTCCGGGACGGCGGCGGGTTCGCTGCGGCCGATCTCGGCGGCGGCGACTTCCAAGGGTAGCGAGGCGGGTGCGTCGTAACGGAGGTTGGCCTCGGCCCAGATGCGCACGGCGCGCAGGATGCGGGATTGGTCGGATTGCTGCACCGCAGAGCGCAGGGTTGATAGCGTATCGTCGGCCAGGTCCAGCGTATCGTCAGCGTTCCATGCGATCAGGAGCGCCGATCGCAGCAGATCGAGGGTCTGGCGCTGCATCTGGCGGGGATCGGCGCCCTCCCAAACGGCTGCGTTGATGGCGGCCAGCGCCCCGGGCGTGTCGCCGGACATTAACGCCTGGGCCAGGATAAGGTAGGTGTCGCTGCGGCCCAGGCCCAGCAGCTGTTCCACGTCCTGAAGGCTGATTTCGCCACCGGAGGATACTACCAGCTGCTCCAGAATGTTTTCGGCATCCCGCAGAGAGCCGCCGGCGTTGCGCGCCACCAGACGGAGCGCGTCGGGCTGGATGGCGACGGCTTCCTGGTCGGTGATGTGAGCCAGCCGATCGTAAATCGTTTGACCGGGCAGGCGTCGGAAGTCGTAGCGCTGGCAGCGGGAGATGATGGTGGGCAGGATGTTGTGCGCTTCGGTGGTACACAGGATGAAGATGACGTGCTGTGGGGGTTCCTCCAGGGTTTTGAGGAAGGCGTTGGACGCCTGGGCGGTGAGCATGTGCGCTTCGTCGATGATGTAGACCTTGCGTGCGCTCTCGGCCGGCATGAAGTGGACCCGGTCGCGGATGTCGCGAATTTCGTCGATGCCCCGGTTGCTGGCAGCGTCCAGCTCGATGATGTCCATGTTGCGGCCATCGTTGATGGAGACGCAAAGGTGGCATTCGTTGCAAGGGTCGCCCTGTTGGGGATTGGTGCAATTGACCGCTTTGGCCAGCACGCGGGCGGTGGTGGTTTTGCCGGTGCCCCGCGGCCCGCAGAACAGATAGCTGTGGCTAACCCGGTTTTGGATGATGGCCTGGCGCAGGGTGTTGGTTACATGCTCCTGCCCGGCCAGGTCGCTAAAGCGGCTGGGTCGCCATTTACGGTAGAACACCTGAGAGGACATATTGGCGATGGCCACCCTGGGCGCTGCCGGCGGTTCGCCGGGCGCGGTGATTGGTGATTAATATAAACCTTACCGACCTGTGACGCCATAGCGCGCCGGTCGCTGCCGGGGCATTTCGATAGGCGGCTGTTATCCGAGCATCACGGTAATGGCGATTCTTCGGCGGGCTCAGGATGGTCAGCCGGTGGATGTCAGGCGGAAATGTTGAGGGCGCGGCGGGCGTTTTCGATGAGGACTTTGGGGATGACGTGGTCGCGAATCTCCAGGCTCTGGAAGTCGTGTAGCCAACGGTCGGGCTGGATGAAGGGGTAATCGGAGCCGAACATCACCTTGTCCTGCAGGCGCGTGTTGGTTTCGCGAATGAGGGTCTCGGGGATGAAGCGCGGCATCCAGCCCGACAGGTCGAGGTACACGTTGGATTTGTGCAGGGCCACTGCAATTTGCTCGTCGATCCACGGCCAGGCGGGGTGGGCCATGATGATGGTGAGGTTGGGGAAGTCAGCGGCCACATCGTCAAAACAGGGAATGGGCTGGCTGTACTTCAGCTTAAGTCCGCTACCGCCGGGAGTGCCGGAACCGGCGCCAGCGAATCCGGAGTGAAACAGCACCGGGATGCCGAGGTTGTCTGCCACTTCGTAAAGAGGATAGAAACGGGTGTCGTTGGGGAAAAAGGCCTGGTGGATGGGGTGCAGTTTCAACCCCTTGAGGCCCAGTTCCCTGATGGAACGCTCCAACTCGTAGCAGGCAGCCTTGCCCATCCACGGGTCGACGGTCGCAAAGCCCATGAATTGCTCGGGATGGTCTCGCACGATGCTGGCGACCCAGTCGTTGCTATCGGGCTTTTCGCCGGTGTTGGTGGTGGTATCAACGGAGAAAATCACGCCGAAGAGGTCGGACTCGCGGAACTTGGCGGCCATATCGGCCGGGTCGGCCGGTGGAGGCGGCGCACGGAAATATCGCAGCAGCTCGGCTTCGATCTCGATCTCGGGCAGGCCCGGCTCGCGGGGCACGTGGACGTGCATATCAATGGCTTGCATAGGAGTCTCCTTGTTCGACTGGATTGCTGGGTGACTGGTTCGAACCGTGGGATATCGCGCCGCGGGCCGTAGCGAGGAGACTGGCGAGCCGGCGAACTCGCCGCAACAACTTGTCTATATCTGGAACCAGCTCGTCGTAATCGGCGGTCGTAATCGGCATGGGAATACAACCCGGCGGCGGGCCCGGGGATTTACTTCGGCGGGAGCGTGGCGACAAAGGCCAGCCCGCGATTTAACCAGGTAGTGAGGTCGTCATCGGATTTCAGTCCTGCGGCTTCGACCAGCACCGAGCCTTTCATGGGACGCCCGGTGAAGTTCAACAGGCCGGCGTGGGGTAGTTCCAGGGCGTCCCCGTAGGCGTGGGGGCCGACGCGCACCATGAGACGGTCGTCCATCACGCCGCAGCACATATTGCCGTTAACCATAAAGGCGAGGCCACCGAACATTTTTCGTTCCACCACGCCGGCGTGGACATCCAGGGCTTCCCGAATTCGCAGCGCTAGGGTTTCGTCGTAAGCCATTGCCCATCATCCCTATGGTTGGCGTCCCATGTAGGCGATCATCTGGTCCTGCAGGCTGGCGTCGTCCGGGACGTCGACAGCCATGCCGATGAATCCACTCTCCCGTCCCATGTCGGCGAACCCGGACGCCAGCAACGGGAAAGCGAATTCCACCAGGTCGGTGTCCAGCGTGGTGTCCTGGCCGGTAGCTTTGGCCAAATCCCAACCGTGGATAAACTGGTCCATCAACGTGCCCACCAGAAACTGGCCGAAGGGTATTTCGCCGAAGGGTGTGGTCGTAATCTTTTCCAGCGTACCGGGTTGGCTGGCGAGTTCCAGTACCCGGTCCACCTCGGTGCGGTACGCGAGGGAGAGGCTTGAGGCGTCGTGATCGTTGACGTGGGTGCTGTCGGCGCCGGTGAGCTGGATGTTCGGGGGGTTGCCGACCAGGCAGCCGGCGGCATATTCGACTCCGCCGATGAGATGGTTAATCAGTCCGTGTACATTCCATTCGGCGCAGGGCGTTGGGTCGGAGAGCTGCGATTGCTGAACACTGCCCACCACCTCTTTGACGCGATCGGTGACTGCGGCCAGGAGCTCTGCCGGGTTTGGGCTAGGCGCATCGTTGCTCATACCTGTTCTCCAGAAAATAAGATTGCCGAGAAGAGTGTATCAGCGTGATGAAAGGGGTCGCCAGTGGCGGGTGACACTGGAACGTGCGAAGCATCCGGCGATCCGAAGCGGTTCAGCGCCTGTCGGCGGGCCGGCGCCGCGTGGCGGCAACAAGGTCTCTACGTTCCCCCGCACCGGCAGGCGGCGACTCTGGGTTGTGGCTTTGGCTAAAACGATGTGGTGAACGTCGGAGGGAAGGGTTGACGGGGTTCGGCTAGAACACCTGGGGACAGGGGCGTGTGAACACATCCCAGGTTTCCTGCTGTGGGTCGTAGCGGGAATTTACGAACACACGCCAGTTGGCTTCGTCCATCTCCGGATAGTCGCTACGGTAATAGAAACCGGGCCACCGCGTTTCCTTGCGGTGCAGCATGTGGCGCAGGTGAGCCTCGCCGACCCAGGCCCGGTGGATGAGTTCATGGCAGCGCAGCAGTTCGTGACGGCTGCGGGCGGCCAGTTTTTGCAGGTCTTCGCGGAACATGCCCATCAATTCGAGGCCACGCAGCAGGGTCGATTCGTTGGTGGTGAAACCGGCAGAAACGCCGGCCACGTACTCGTCCATCAACTTTTGCAGGCGGAACAGACCCTGACGGGGAGACAGGTAATTGGGATTCACGTCGGGATTGGTGGAAGCGTATTGATTCGTCTCGAAGGTTACCATGGGCGCCCATATCTGCTGCTTGAGCCGGTCAATCTGACGGTCGTCGGCCTTGGGCAGGGTCTGGTGGTCAAGGGCGTAGGCCACGGCGGATTTACCGGCCAAGCGCCCTTCGGTAAACGATCCTGAGGAGAATTTATGCGGACACGCGCCAACGCCATCGCCGGCGGCGAAAAGGCCGCTTACGGTGGTCATCTTGCTGTATCCCCAATGATAACCGTCGGGCGCGACGTCCTCGGGGCCGCTGACCCAGGCGCCGGCTTCACCGCTGTGGCTGCCCATGATGTAGGGCTCGGCCAGGACTACTTCGGAGGGGCGCTCTTCGGGGGCGATGTTGTGGGCGGCCCACAGGATGGCCTGGGAGATGGTCATGTCCAGGAAGTCTTCCCAGGCTTCCCCGATAATTTCCCGCCGTCGCACCGGGTCGCCGGCAGCCAGCGCCTCGATGGCTTCGGGGGTTTTGAGCTGGATGGGGCCGTTGCCGGCCTGGATTTCGGTCCAGAGCAGGTGGTTACGAAGCGGGGTTGGCGTTGGGAAGGCGGAACCATAGGGATCGTATTTTTTGAGTTCGGGCAGGCGGTTGATGAAGTAGTTTTCGCCGGCGGCGTTGGTGAGGTCGGCACGGAACAGTTGCGACCAGGCGCCAACCGGGCCGTAGGAATCCTTGAACCGGCTGGGCACGAAGCGGTGTTCCATCTGGGTCATCTCGCCGCCGATGGGAATGATGAGCCCGTACACCGAGCCGGTGTCGAAGATGGAGTACCAGGTGCGTCCCATGCCTTCGCCCACGCTGCGGGGACGGAACAGGGCGGTGGCTCCGCCGGCGCCGCATACGACGGCGTTGGCCTTGAAAACGTAAATCACATCCTCGCGAACGCCGAACCCGATGGCGCCGGCGATGCGATTGGGGTCGTCGGCATCGGTGAACAGGTGGGAGATGAATACGCGTTCGTAGTGGTTATCCGGGCCGAGGGCTTTTTTGGTGGCTTCCGAGACGATGGGCTTGTAGGCCTCGCCGTGAATCATCACCTGCCAGCGACCCTCACGGACGTACTGTTCGTTGTCGTCGTACCAGAAGGGCAACCCCCACTCCTCGAACATGTGGACGCTGCTGTCCACGTGGCGGGCGATGTCGTACACCAGGTCTTCCCGGGAAACGCCCATCATGTCATTGCGGACGTACTCAACGTAATCTTCGGGCTGGTTCCATCCCCAGCGACCGCCCATGTACATGTTGATGGCGGACAATCCCTCGCCAACAGCGCCGCTCCGGTCGGTGGCGGCCTTGTCGACCATGACAATCCGGAGGTCGTCGCCGGCCCAGTAGCGGGCTTCGATAGCGGCGCCGCAGCCGGACATACCGCCGCCGACGATCAACACATCACATTCAACAATACGGGTGGTAGGTTCAGCCATGATGGGGTGTTGCTCCTGGATGGGAATGGGTGGGAGAAGGGACAGCGCTGCGCGAGGTCTGGCCTGGAGTGGACTTAACCCAGGCTTTCCAAGGTCTGGATGAATTCCGCGATGACTTCCTTGCCGGCGCGAATGCCGGCGGCGGGCGGCGCGCCACCATAAAACCGCTGGTGGTAAGCGGAAGCCATCATGTATTGCCCGAACAGGTGCTGCGGTGCGCCCTCTTCCTGGATAAGCCTCATCACCCCCTCTTCAAGCAGCGCGTGGGCATGGTGCTGCCAGCCCCTGCGTTCGGCCACGGCTTTGATGGCGTGGGCAGCGGCGCCCCAAACCTTGTTGCTGGCTTCCTCGTTGCTGGCTTCCTCGTTCCTCGTTGTGGGCTGCATCGAGTTCGCCACGGGTCAGCTCGTCGTCAACGAGGCTCAGGAAATGCCGGCTACGTTCCCGGTGATAATCCACGGTGGCGCTGACCATGTTCTACTCCGTAGTTTCCGGCAGCAGCAGGTATTTGGGTTCGCCGAAAAGGGCCTGGGAACGCAGCGCATCGCGGTCAGCAGGCTGCACACCTGCGTAGGGATCGATGCTGCCCCATTCGGAGGTGCGGGAGGCAAAGCGGAAATGCTCGGTTCGGCCGTCGCGAAACGTAATGTCCCACACGATGTCCTGCCCTTCGTAATGGGGCTGAACCTCGGCGCCAAGGGGCACGAAGTCAGCGTAGCCGCGCACGTGCACGGCGTTTTCGGGGCACAACTTCACGCAGGCGTAGCATTCGGAGCACATTTCCGGCTCCTGATTGGTGCCCTTGTTTATCAAGTCGTCCAACACCATGAGGTCGTTGGGACAGATGTATACGCACTGCGGGCCGCCGTGAACTCCGGCGCAGGCGTTGCAGGCGGTAGGGTCAACGTAGGTTGGCACTGTCGTCCACTCCATTTCGGTTAAAAAATACCGGGCGGATAATAATGTCAGCCCGGCCAGAAACGCTGCAAAGCATTGTACCATACAGTCATTGCGAATTGCCTATTGACTCCCCGACGCTGGCGATTGACCGCCAGGACGGTGGCGATCTGCCCCTCACCCCCGGGTCAAGCCCGGGGCATGCTCTAACTCCGTCCGATCGGGGAGATCACCCTCACCCCAGCCCTCTCCCATCAAGGGAGAGGGGGGTCCTTCGACAGGCTCAGGATGCGCTGGCGCGGGACAGAAGGGAAGAATGGCGCGGGAAAGGCGGGAGCACCAGCATCAAAATGCGATTGCCCTGGGAGGGGTTGCCGTTTCATTGCCGCTCCAATCGCCACCGTGATACCATGAAAGGGTTATGGAGCAACAGCGCATCCGAAACTTTTGCATCATCGCCCATATCGACCACGGGAAATCCACCCTGGCCGATCGTTTTCTGGAAATTACCGGCACGGTTCGGCCCGGCGAGATGAAAGAGCAGTTTCTCGACCAGATGGACCTGGAGCGCGAGCGGGGCATTACCATCAAGGGCAAGGCGGTGACCATGAAACACCGCACCCCAGACGGTGTTGACTACCAACTGAACCTGATCGATACGCCGGGCCACGTTGATTTCTCTTACGAGGTATCGCGGGCGCTGGCTGCGTGCGAGGGCGCGTTGCTGGTGGTGGACGCGACCCAGGGTGTGGAGGCGCAGACTATCGCCAACACGCTGCTCGCTCTGCAGTACGACATGGAGATGATCCCGGTCATCAACAAGGTTGACCTGCCTTCGGCCGAACCGGAGCGGGTGGCTGCCGAGATGGAACAGTTTTTTGGGTTCCGCCGCGACGAGGTGATGTTCGTGTCGGCGAAATCCGGCATTGGGATGCAGGAGCTGCTGAACTGCATTGTCGAGCGGGTGCCGGCGCCCAAAGGCGCTGCTGATAAGCCGTTCCGCGCCCTGGTGTTTGACTCTACTTACGATTCCTACAAGGGCATCATCGCCTACGTGCGGGTGGCCGACGGCAGCATGTCGAAACACGACCGCCTGCAGGTCATGTCATCCGGCCGGTCGGTGGAGGTGATTGAGGTTGGCGTGTTCTCTCCGGAACCCACGCCCATCGATGTCCTGAACGCCGGTCAGGTGGGGTACGTGGCCACGGGATTCAAGGATGTGCAGGAGTGTGCTGTCGGGGACACGCTGACCAACCAAAGCAATCCGTCCACCGAGCCGCTGCCAGGGTACGTGGAGCTGAAATCCATGGTTTTTGCCGGTCTGTATCCGGCGGATGGCGAGGACTACACGCGTCTGCGCGCGGCGTTGGAGAAGCTGAAGCTGAATGATGCTTCACTTTCTATCGAACCGGAAAACAGCGGGGCGCTTGGGTTCGGGTTCCGCTGCGGTTTTCTGGGTCTGATGCACCTGGAAATCGTGCAAGAACGGCTGGAACGGGAATACGACCTGGCCCTGATCGTAACTGCGCCCAGCGTGGCTTACGAGGTATTGTTGACCAATGGCGAAGTGATGCGCGTGGACAATCCGTCCCGTCTGCCGTCGCCCACCACCATTTCGGAGATCCGCGAACCCATCCTGGGGATTACCATCGTTACGCCCAATAGTTCGGTGGGCGCGGTGATGGAGCTGATGCACGGCCCGCCGCTCCGAATTCCGGCGGATGGAATATATTCAGGGACTGGGCGACGCCGAGCAGGCGCGGGTCGTGATGGAATACACGATGCCGCTGGCCGAGATGCTGGCTGATTTCTACAATCAGCTGAAATCACGCACGCAGGGATATGCGTCGCTGGACTACACCTTTGAGGGATACCGGGCGGCGCCGCTGGTGCGGGTGGACATTCTGGTGAACCAGACTCCGGTGGAGGCGCTGAGCATAATCAGCCACCGGGACAACGCGGTAGTCCACGGTCGCACGCTGGTGGAAAAACTCCGTTCCGCCATCCCCAGGCAGATGTTCGAGGTACCTATCCAGGCGTCCATCGGCACGCGCATCGTGGCCCGCGAGACGGTGCGGGCGATGCGGAAGGACGTGCTGGCGAAGTGCTACGGCGGCGACATTACCCGCAAGCGCAAGCTGCTGGAAAAGCAGAAGGAAGGCAAGAAGCGCATGAAGATGGTGGGCCGGGTGGAAGTGCCCCAGGAAGCCTTTTTGAGTCTGCTGAAGATAGGGGACGAGGGCTAGCTGATTCATCCTGTGGATGCCGGGTTCGCTTACTCTCGATCTCCCATCGCGTCAACGATGGCCATGGTCTGGACGCTTACGGTGCAGACGCGCTGCAACAGGTCGATGACGCGCTCCTTGTAGTCGGCGAAACGATAGGTGTTGAACTTCGCGGCGACTGGCACGCGCATCGTGGCCCGCGAGACGGTGCGGGCGATGCGGAAGGACGTGCTGGCGAAGTACTATGCAAGGGACATTACCCGCAAGCGCAAGCTGTTGGAAAAGCAGAAGGAAGGCAAATGCGCGGAGCGCGTGGGCCGAGTGGAAGTGCGCCAGGAAGCCTTTTTGAGGCTGCTGAAGATAGGGGACGAGGGTTGAGTATTCCGAGAATCCTAGAATAGGCCTCGTATCGCCGCCCTGATTTCCTCCATTTTTTGCGCCGTCATTTGGCCTACCGTGCGGCCTAATAGACTCCCGTTCAACGTGTGTAGGCGGCCGGGGCGTACCCAACTGGCGGCACGTAGCCTTCCGGTTTGCATGTCCTGCTGGGTTACGGTGATGTCATCGAGGCGGCGGTTACGTCGGCTGGTCATCTGACACAGAATCCAATCATCCATCCCGACATCGGCGACCACGACCGCCGGCCGGACTTTCCTGGCAGCCAAGTCAGTAAATGGGAACTGTACAAGGACTAAGAGCCTATCCTAATAATCCAGCAGCTCTGAGGGCGGTGAGGGCGCAGGCGAAGTGAAGGAAGGCGATGTAGTTGTCGGGAGACTTATCCCAGCGGACCAGGATGCGCCGGAAGCGGTTCAGCCACTGTGCGAGCGTTCCACCACCCCAGCGCCTGGCTTTGAACCCAGCTTCTCTTTTGATGCCTTGGCCTCCTCGCCCCGGCTGCGGATGTGAGCGGTGAAGCCAAACTCGTCCAACGTGCGTCGCACCTCGTCAAAGTCGTAGCCTTTATCCAGGCACATACCCTGGGGTTGGTCTGGACTGGGCGCCGGTCGCGGCACGGGCAGGCTGTCCACCGTGGCCCGCCCAGTTTTTCATGTCATGACGGTGGCCCGTCCACCGCCAGACCCACCGGAACTGCCCTGGCTTCGGTCACAGGCTACGCTGACCCCGCCTTTGCCGCGGTCAGTGGGTTGGGGCCGGTTTTTCCCCGCCAGGCGATTTGGTCATGGCGCCGTCCATACTCAGCCAACTCCAGTCCAGCCCCTTCAGTTCGTCATAGCGTTCCAGTCCCCCGCCACAGCTCCAGGAACACCCCAGCGGCAACCCCATCCTGAAAGCGCAGGTGGCGGTGGACCCGGAGCAGATGCCCGTGGCGTCCAGCGCCTTCCACTGGCAGCCAGTGCGCAGCACGTAGAAGATGCCATTGTCGCAGGTGTCGTCAGGGACACCGGGCCGACCGCCGCCGAAACGATGGATGTTCACATGCTTGGGGATCAACGGCGCCAGCACCTCCCAGAGCTCGTCGGAGATCTGGAACGCGCCGTGGTGGATTGGTCTTGGTGGCTGGGCCAGCACGCTTCGGACGTGGCGGCTTGGGGTCTTCACTTTGGTCATTGCCCCAGTCTAGACGCAACCCTAACTTCGCGTCCCCCAATGGGTAGGCACGTTTCCGCCAGTTATTAGGATAGGCTCTTAGTCTCCGACCAAGCGGCCTCCCAATCTGGGTCTTCCGGTTCATCGAACCATTGGGATATGGTGAGCTGAGTCCATTGGTCAGATTCGCGATCAATGTTGGCGATTGGAGGTATTTCACCCCGGTCGCCGTTCCCTTCGATGCCCATGTCGTCGTGGACCTGTTCACGCCCTGAAGCTGCATCGATAGTGCGGGGAATCGCAACCAGGCGGGGATCATCGCCGACCCCTAGCCACAACACTACTCCGTCCGGCAATGTCCGAGTGGCGGTCCGAAGTTTTTCGGTGATAGTAGACGGCAATGGCGGACTACCAGAGGAAAAATATCCAATTAGATCTTCGATAGCTTGTGCCCCAGGCGAATGCGGATAAGATTCCGTTTCGGGAAATTGCCGCAAAATACATCGGGCTGTGATACACCACGGGCCAGTCGGGAGGAACCTCCAAGTCGGATTGCGGATCCATGTGGGTATTTCGCTACGGGCAGGTTGATGACTGCCGATGTAAACAGCGGTGGCCTGCAGCGTTTCCTCAATACGACTCAAAACATCGGGTGCGCCAAACGCTTGAACAATGAGCGCGAGGGGCACTCCAGATTCAGCGACGGTAATCCCGTCGAGGGTCACAACTAATTGATTCGTCACTGTTCACCTTGCAGCTGTTCCGCTACCATAAGGAAACGTTGATGCCGCCCGATGTTGGCCAATGTTTTTGCTGGCACGCCGGATTCCCGCAATAACCACAACACCAGTAAGTAGTACAACGATTCGGATAGTAGAAACAGTGGAGGACGTTCGAAATCCCGTAGCCCGCGATGTATGACGTTACCGACCCTAACGTCTCTTATTCGCTTAGCCCATTGCTTGATGTCTCCTACCAGCGGCTGGAATGATAGCGCAACATCGTTGCCAAGCGATTCTAGTTCTGCTTTTAGATTCACTCGTTGAGACTGCTTTCGTATCCTCGCTAACGTCTCCGCAGCAGTGACGCAGTGAAAGAAACGATCTTCAGCGTAATATTCGGGTCTGTACCAATTGCTGGTCAACAACCCAATAACCGTGTGGTATTTGTCCGCGACTCCGAGCCAATTGCCAACCTTGGTAAGTCCACCCATTCCATCGAAAGTGAAGAGCATTTGCTGAGGGTGAGGCGTCTTTACTTTGCCGGTACTGTTCGGTCCTAGTAACGGCGCATAAAACTTGGTCGGTACGGAAATATCGGTATGGGAGAGCGAAATCGTTTCGATAGACGAGGGGGCACCGACACCTATCGTAACGAGATGCTGTAACGCCGAGCATATTCTAAGCGCGTTTTCGAGCGGTTCGGGGTTCGGAAATCGGCATTCAATTAAGCAGTTTTGTTCGATCCTGCTTTGAATGATGTGGTCTCCCCCAAGGCGGTAGTCAAAGGATAGCTCCAGCTCACCTAAATCCGTGCTGGTGGTAATAGGGTCTGTCGGTGTGTTTACGATTCTGACTTGAGCGAATTCCCCGTTATCCGCTTTGTAATCCAACTCGATCACGGTTGAAGGTTTGGCTATCCACGCCTCCAAGTTACTTATCCCAGTCCGAACAGCGGTGATTTCGATAGGTTGTTGTTCTATATAATCGCCCAGAAAAGCACTTGTGCTGGTGTAATGTTCGCGGCTGTTGGCGCGCGGGCCGAATAGAGAAAAGGTAGCGGTATCTCGGTAGCAGTTGGCAAGCGTTAGATGGCCTTTAAGAGTTTCCCCTAATATCCGGGCCGCATTGGGATTCGCACCGAATAATTCGTCTAACGACAACCTCACATCATTCCCAGATTGGCTGGCCAAGACATCGAGTGGGTCGTGCAAGGAACCAATCAAGTCCAACTGCAGTCCATCTACTTCATCAAAAACCAGACGCCCCGCAACTTTACGATCTGGTTTGCCGGCAATCCAAAATTGTCCGTCCGTTTCCCAACTCTCCATTTTAGGTCCCCAGCAAATCACTACCCATTGGCGAATATGGCATTCGTACGTATAACCGATCCGGTTGTGTCGATGGTGTTTGGGCTATTATAAACTACATTACCAGGCGCAACTTTTCGCGGTGGTCGCGGCAATATGCGTCCAGGCAGCGTTCGAAAGCGTTGCGGATGCTGGATTCATTATCCGAGCCGCCATAGTCAATCATTTCCTGCAGGTCCTGGCGGTAGCGGTCAATGTGTAGGTAGTCAGGCATGGGCGAATTCTATGGCAAGTGGCATCCCACGGCAACACGCAGCCGTCACCACACTTGGGAGGCTGGGCGACGGGATTGCCACGTTGCTAACGCTCCTCGCAATGACAGTGGGATGGGCGGCGGGACGAAAAAGCCGCCGCAGGGTGGTTGCCCCGCGGCGGCTTGGCCGGTTGAGTTGTTTGCCGGGTGTCGGGGTTAGCGCACCAGGTTGGGGGTAACCTCGGCGGGGATGCCGCTGTCCTGCATTTCGCGAGCGCACGAGCCGCACCTCGCGCACTAAGATGACGCGCATACAGGATCTTCGTACCCAGGTCGCGGCTACACGGTACGTTCTTCGGCGCACCGTGTTTAGCCGGCCGTTCCAGGATCGCGCTTGAGCTTGCCGTCTCCTGAACTGTCCAAACACACAGTCCAATCGGGTCGCGGACCCCAGGTCTCTTGTCCCAGAAATCCGGTGGTTTCTTGTTGCGCGGGCCGTAAGTGATAGTGCGGGTCATCGCGAAGCAGTCGAAGGCCAGTCACTGCCCTCGGTCCTCTTCGTGAGACGCGAGACGGTGTTTTCCGGACAGTTCACTGAGCACGTGGATGGCCAACCCGCCATCGCCGGACCCCTGGCGGCGCATCTCCAGACCGAAGCGGATGTTGCCGGCCTCGATGATGTCGGTGCCGCGGTTGTGCTTGACGGTGTTGCGCTCGGCGGCGAACTTGGCGCGCGCGGTGCCTTCCACTTCTTCCAGCGCCGAGGACACGGCATTCATGTCTACGGCGGCGGCGGCGTCGGCATGGCCGGCCGTGGTCAGCATGGCGCCGCAGCCTGTTTTTGCGATGTTTGTTTACCGTCCAGCCGATGGGTTGCATCGAGAGGTGCAGCTGTGATCCATAGCGGTACATTCGAGCATTTCACATGCCATGGGTCGGGCATAAAACACGCTAGCAGTAGCTGCGCATCGAGGGGTTGTCAGACTGTCGAAAACAGTAGAAGCGGAGGCAGTGTGAGTCTCCGCCCACTTTACGACCTAGAATGACAACGCCACTGGTCGAGTGGTCCTTCTGAATGATTATCCGATCCCACAGTTACAGCTCGTCGTGCTGGACAATGCAGTTCGTGATACGTTACAGCTCTTCTACGCTTGCTCGTCCTTTCGGTGTGTTACCACATAGTGACTC